AGTGCTCCTAATGGCATTTACAAAAATCAACTGCGTCTGAACTAAAACAGCCAATCAGAGCCAAGAAAGAGTTTATTGTTGAGTCTCATTCCAAACGTGTCGGTATTTGACAACCTGGAAATGAGACCAACCACCTATCTTTCTTGTCACTGATTATTTCTTTTCGTTCAGAAAATTAAGTGTAAATGCCATTAGGAAGAGGAACCTAATGTCTTGTGCGGTTTATTGGTTATTCTGGCAATAAATATACTGAGGATCAGCCTCACACCATTTTGAAATGCTACTTGTATGTCTGTTTTCACCAAAACACAAATATGTGGACATACTGTATGTACTGTTGGCTACATATTAGTTCAGCTACTCCACAATCTTACCCTGTCCCCACTGGTAACTGCACAAGTACCCTCGGGGAGTGCAAGTACCATGTAAGTTTAAGGGTCTTTAGCATGTACCATGGTCACATATTTACATACTACATCACTTAATCTTTGTATGTTTTTCAGTTTTAAGGCTTATGGTGGAATTTGTTTATGATCAAGTCCATACTGATCACTCTTTTACATACAAATTAAACAAAAAAGACACACATGCTTTCTTACAAATAAGTAGGAGTTTCCCATCAGATCAGGCTGTAATATGGCCACCGTGGTCATCATAGGCTCCTACCAACATATTCAAACTTGAATCCTCTCTTTGTAAATTGTCAAGTGCTTGTTGAGGTCATTGTTTCATTGTCTGTGAAACCTAAATTCTCAACCTCAGTCCGTCCTCCGGTCAGTAGGCCCTCCTGATCTCGTAGGGAGACCAGGAGCTCACGCCGTCCTCTTTGGCCCAGCAGGACGGAGCCTCGCCATTGGGAGGGAGGCCGGTATGGCTGTCGGCCGCCTCCTCCGTCACCATCTTGGACACCAGGTCGCTGACAGGGCTGCTCATGTAGGGGGGGCAGGGGAATGATGTGGATGGGACCGGGTAGGAGCTGCTGGTGGTCAGGGCGTGGTAGTGGGCGTCTTCCAGGGGGTGCAGGGTGTAGGGCTGGCTGCTGGAGATGGGGCCCATGGAGGAGCCGCGGCTGGGAGAGCGGTACTGCGTGGGGCTCCCTGGGGGTTCTGGGCTGGGCATGGAGGGTGGGACACTGACGGAGGCCAGGCTGTCCGGACACAGAGTCTCCACCTGGGATACTGACTCTGGAACAGACTGCTCCCAGGAGTCTCTCTGAGGCAGGAAGACAGGAGATAGTGTCAGACTGCATGTTCATATCAGTAATAATATTTCTCGTTCTTATTCTTATTCTCAGGACACTCATGTACTCTATTTACCAGAATCAGAAGGGCATTCAAGCTTTTTTAAATTATCTTTCAGAATTCAGGATCTTAAATGGTTCTCCTTGATTTTAAAATAACACATTAACACAGCAATTAAATATATATATAATATTAAAAAAATATATAATTTTTTTTACTTTAAAGCTGCAGTAGGTAATTTATACTGCAACCATGTATTCACTATATCCTGACAGTAGT